CATGCATGCATGCATGCATGCGCATGCATGCTACCATAAACATGTGGCTTGGTATAGGCTGTGTGCTTCCTTGAGAAAAAAAAGAATTGCGATTGCCACTATAATGCATTTGTATGTTTGAGATAATGCAGTTACAGCTGTTTACACAGAAGCTTAAGTTTCCTCGCTTCTGTTTAAGTATTTGTAATGCAGTCATGTGATATAAAATTAACTGGATGCAAGTTAGTAATCATAAAATAGCAAGTACATGTTGTGTTCAAGCCTCAGTTTAAAATTATATGTAAATGTTTTTTTATTTACATATCTTTTTGACCACCTCAGCGGTGGTCAAAAAGCTCCTCGGTGGCAAGGCCCCGGGGGTGGATGAGATCTGCCCCGAGTTCCTCAAGGCTNATGTGAAACACACCATATGTTTTGTCACGTTTGGTAGGCTATTCATCTGAAGGCCACCTTTTTTATGTTTATTTTCAATGTAACATGACTGTCCCCAAAATAATATCCCAAAATAACACAGAACAAYTAAATTGAGATTAGGTTTTCTAAAACTGAGAACAGCTAAGCGAGCAAAAATAAATATACATTTTTTAAATTAATTTTCAAAATATGTTTAATTCATTTCGCGTCACGTTCTTCCCTGTAGGAACAGTTCTTTACGAACAGGGTTCAGCCGGACGATGTTTACCAGCGCACACAAAGTGAACTTTAACCCTATAGAGTATGTAATTGTTTTTATTGAACAGGTTATCTTTTCTCGTTATTATTAGAACGGAAATCGAAGAAAATTGATAAATGTTAATCTGTCTTAGCACGTAGGACTTACTCAAACGTGAAGAATGATGTGTCGGGAGGCATTTCACGTTCCCGCTGATAAAAAAAGATGCTTTCTTTTAGAAGAGCTAACGCTAGCTGACTGCTAGCTAACGCAGCATACGTAGCTAGTAACAAACATGACGATGATGAGGAGCTGCGTGTAGGAGCCACCGACCAGACATTGGATCGCGCCGATTTCCTGCTTGTCAGTCATTGTTTTGCTGGGTTATCCCTTCTTTGTGTCTGGCTTGTCACATCGGCATTTCAAATCAATCAGCTGCTTAACTTGTCTTTTGGAAGGTTAGTATTTCATTAGGTCGAAAAATTGAAATATATAGTTTTTCTCCCCGATATCTTTGTTTATTTGTTTGTGTTTTAACAATGCAAAGAAAACAGGTGATGTATATATATATATTTTTTTTAATGAAGCATATCCAATTCAATTATATGTTTTAGTTTACGGTTTGCGTCACATTACTTTCTTCCAATGGGGGAGGAAAAGCCGGACACGCTGGACTTTGTGAAGGATTTCCAGGAGTATTTAAGCCAGCAGACGCAACATGTCAACATGATATCAGGCTCTGTCAGCGGGGTAAAGGAGGTGGACGAGCTGCCAGCAGGTAACAAGCTGCTAAGCAAAATTGTATGTTTAAGTGCAGTTTATTTAATTCACCCCCACAGCATACAGGTAAAGGATTGTTTTCACGTAGAGCAGCAGCGATTTTCCTTCAGTATGTGAAATCTATAGGTCATCACTCATTTTGTTGATCTGCTTTGACTTGTTTGCATGCGTAAAACTACAAATTCATTGAAGTTATATTTCAATAGATCCAATGATTTACACAAAAATATTTCAAAGCATTTTAT